CAAATTGGATTTTTTATATCAGCCAATTCATACATCAAAATATCGAATTTACTTTGTTTTCCCTCACTGTCATACCCCTGACCGTCATCCACCCCTCCAACCATCTCTTCTTCCTTCTCCACTGCCTCCTCTACTTCCTTGACAATAACCTTCAAAATTAAATTTGTATTAAGACATTTATTATATTCTTAATATTATTTAATTACATTTATTACTATTTCTAGCTTCCTCGGTCTATCCAACTTCAACTTCGCCATCACTCTAACCACCTCTTCCTTCCCCCATGCACGGATACGTGCCACTCCGTTTCTTTAATAAACCGACAAACTTTCACAGCCCGATCAAAAATCGAACAGTGCAACCTGCATTTATAATAAAATTTAACATTTTATATAATAACTATAATATCATTTTATATAAAAAAACAAAAACATTCTTCAACTCAGTTACCTCTAAGATTGCTATGCACCCTTTGAGGTATCTCTGACTGCCCTTTTGAAAGGTGATTATTGATTCAATTAATCTCGAATGGACATATTTAGCCCAATTGAATTTACCCTTCAATCCTTCATCGCAAATGAGCTTCATATTATCCTTGTTCGTTGACGTATCACCTATTAGACAAAGAAATATCCCGACAAGTTACAATAAAACTCGGGCCTTCAGGTCATCCCCCCGTAATATCCACTTTTGATATCCTCTTCAACTTCAGCATATGTCACCTTCTGCTTCAAACCATATTTGTAGGCAAGCGCTTTCCAGTTCTTACTCTTACAGACTTCTACAACACTTTTGCCTTCGTTTCGTACCCCCAAGACGGCTACAGCAGTCGATACCCCCAAAGGGAATGAATAATCACCATATTTAGCAATACATTGTTTGACATCAAATTTCTCCATCAAGGATCGACACAATTCCCTCTGAATTGGTCGATCCCCTACTCCTATCAACGATCCAAACCTCATTTCCCACAGCACATTCAACTAATCATTCTCTTTAAGGTGTTCAATTAATGAATTCACCATTTTTATGATGCACCTTGTCGACACTTCCTACATTTGTTAACAATATATAATGTTATTGTTCTTATATATCTTGTATCAACGTATTTACAAGTTTAATGAATACCTTCTTTTCATGTGCTTTCCTCCGTTCTTTGTATTCTTTACTATCATTCCTTGATTGTGTGATGTAAGGTTCCTTTTCAACATCACTCATCGAATTTCATTTCGCCAGCACATCATTTTTCACCTAATATTAAGCATAAACGTTTCTTAATAAATACATTAACGCTAAATAATACTCAATGTCAATTTCATTTTACATACTGAACCGATGTGTGTGTCATCTTCCTTCATCCTTTGGCATTCAGCCATACTGTCAACATTTAAAATTTGTAATCAATTTAAAGTTCTTAAATACTTTAATCCAATTACCATTTCAACAATAATAACAAAAAGACATTGATACTTACTAGAAGTACATATATTCACCATTTGGTTGCTTTCGAGTCTCGGTCTCAATTTCAAAGTCATCTGCGCCACCTACAATTTTTTCACCTATTGACTTCATTTTTCCTTCATATATCAGTTTACGCAAATCAAATCAAATACTTGTTACATACACTTTATTCAATATACAAATATAGATAACTACTCTTATGGTAAAACGGTTTTCTTCAAAAGAATTTGAATGGCCGCTACAAAATGTGTCGGCACATTTAAACAACCTAAAATATCATTTTCTACCTACAATATTATATACAGGTATCCATATTTATTTTCTACCTATAATATTATATAATCGGTCACAAATCCTTCTTGGTTTCGATTAGAAATCCCTAAACCAAACCCAAAAACCCTAATCCCTATTTCCTTCAAACGAGTGGGAACAATCAATACTCCAAGTATCGACACATTTATACAACCTATAATATCATTTTCTACCTATAATATTAAATAAAAGTATCGATATTTATCATCTACCTAGAATATCACTTTCTACATGTAATCGGTCTCAAATGCTTCTTTACTTCAAAAACCCCAAACAACACATAAAAACCCTATTTCTGATTACTGTAATAATAAAAAAACTAGGGTTTCAACAACGTACTTTTCGATTCGACTGCAGCTACAAACAAACAAACTTCACTTTAGAAACGCCTTCTGAAATACAGCAACAATTACGCTTTGATTTCAAAAACTCTTATGTGTTCTATCTATTTTCAGAGGAGATTTAGCTATGCCCTTTATATTTACACTAGATATGTTATTTATATTAAATCGATACAATTACACAAGTGTCGATACTTTTATGTCATGTGTCGATACTTTTATGTCAGGTGTCGATACTTTCGATAAGCTATTTACCTATTTCTTTGAAAGTATCGATAATTTATTACGCCTACTTATTAATGTATCGACACTTTCAACATATCCGGTAGCGCTTTACCGGTTTTGTCATTTATAGACCGGTTTTTTCATTTTATTTTACCTGTTATATTGTTATGGATCGATGTATTTTTATAAAATATAGACACTTTATAGGCGCTATTATTGCTCTTCTTTTAAATTTCAAAAGTGTCGATACTTATATTAATGTATCCACACCTTCAACATATACAGTAGCGCTTTACCGGTTTTGTCATTTATAGACCGGTTTTGTCATTTTTGTTACCTATTATATTGTTATGGATCGATACATTTTTATAAAGTATCGACGCTTTATAGGCGCCATTACTGCTCCTCTTTTAAATTCCAAATGTGTCGATACTTATATTAATGTATCGACACTTTAAACATATCCGGTAGCGCTTTGCCGGTTTTGTCATTTATAAACCGATTTTGGCATTTTTTTACCTGTTATATTGTTATGGATCGATATATTTTTATAAAGTATCGACACTTTATAGGTGCTATTACTTCTCCTCTTTTAAATTCGAAAGGTGTCAATATTTATATTTATGTATCGATACTTTCAACATATCTGGTAACGCTTTGCCGGTTTTGTCATTTATAGACCGGATTTGTCATTTTTTTTACCTGTTATATTGTTATGGATCGATACATTTTTATAAAGTATCGACACTTTATAGGCGCCATTACTGCTCCTCTTTTAAATTCCAAAGGTGTCGATACTTATATTAATGTATCGACACTTTCAACATATCCGGTAGCGCTTTGCCGGTTTTGTCATTTATAGACCGATTTTGGCATTTTTTTTACATGTTATATTGTTATGGATCAATATATTTTTATAAAGTATCGACACTTTATAGGCGTCATTACTGCTCCTCTTTTAAATTCCAAATGTGTCGATACTTATATTAATATATCAACACTTTCAACATATCTGGTAGCGCTTTACCGGTTTTGTCATTTATAGACCGATTTTGACATTTTTTACCTATTATATTGTTATGGATCGATACATTTTTATACAGTATCGACACAAACCGACAATCTAAGTTTACCGATTGCCAAATTTTTAATATTTCTTCATAATTTTCACCTATTACATTATTATTACTCGATATTTCCGACAGCGCTAAATCGAATTTATCAAATATCTTTTAATGTATTTGGTAACATCATATATTAGATGTATATTAGTCTACCTTTCATGAGACAAGTCCGTGTGAGGATATTTTCATGTTAGCTGCACAATTCATATGACCTGCTGGATTTCTTAGATTCATTATTTTAATGTTCATTTTAATTCGGTTCATCTTTGATTTTCAGTGTATTCAATTTCTTTACTTGCCCGTAATTTCAACATCAGCTGCACAAGATCAAATCTTTTAGTATTACTTTTTTTCATCGACATTTGTTCTATTAGAGACATGGTTTTTAGAATCGACCGGTTAGTGATCCGATTATACTATCGGTTCATTGGTTCAATCGGTTAAATCAATTCGATCGGTCGAAAGAACCGAACGACGTCATAATTATTTAAAAAATTAAATAAAATACCAAAAATATTTAATAAAAAATAATTTTTTATATCTCAAGTCATATTCAAAGCAAGTCATATAACATATATAAATTAAAAATCATAAAATCAAGTGAAACAAAATGATTCAAATTAACTACAACATAATATTTAAGGTAAAACATATTAAATAATAAATATAATTATATAACTATAATTAAAAAATAAATTTGAGGCTAAAAAAATCATAAAAAATGATATTGTTTGGTTTAATTTAAAAAAAAAACAATCCCACATGGCTAAGAAACATAGAAGAGCAACCCAAAAATCTAAAGAGTAAAAATATGAAAACAAAACAATCCCACATTGCTAAAAAAACATAGATCACAACTAATTTCTATAAATAATAGATGTAATTTGACATTCAAAATCATGGAGCCTTTTAGTGAGCATTGAGTGAACTATTCTTTCACTTCAATCAAACTCGAATTTTAAGCTTCAATTAAGCTTCTAATTTTTTTTTAATTCAAGCCTTTTTGAGTTCAAGTTTCAATATTATATTTCGAGTTCGAATTGAACTTGATAAATTTTAACTTGTGAGTTTGAGTGGAGTTGAGCTTACTTTTAAAGTTTTCAAATTCGAGTCAAACTCAGCAATACTCGAATTCGACTTAGCTCGTTTAACAAACGACGTTTGGTTTAATTTTTAAAAAAAAAAAAAAAATTCCGATTTTCAGCCGGTCCAGTTCGAACGGTTCAGCAGTTCTGGCCGGTTCACTAGTAGCGATTCAACCGGTTTAGATTAAACCGGACTAAACAACGGTTCCCGATTAAACCGGTTGAACCGGCCGGTCCGGTTTTCAAAACAATGATTAGAAAAGCTAAAACGAACTTGATCAAATCGCGGAACGCTAAAGCTATACATCATTGCTCAATCAACAGGTAAACAGATCTCATCCTACTGCTTTCGTAAATAATCTGTGCATTAATCGTTGTAAAACAAGCCCATCTACATGGCTTAGAGAGCATATTTCTTCAGTACTTTTCCATACATTTTGAAAACCTATTTCTAAACATGAATTCCCTCCGTGCGATATCGAATTAGAAAAAGCACACTCATCCTAAATAATAAAAATAATAATAACCTGTTAATTTTAGATATGATCAGGTAAGGTAAACTGGAAAAAAAACCAAACCAAAATTTCCCACCCGCCGGCCAAATACAAGCATATGATTAGGTAAAGAGAGGGATATTACCGGTTCTAGATTTCATATCTCCCTTTCCAGTCAAACCCTCTCACAGTTGCATAATCCAAATTCACCAATGTTCACTGGCTGTCCTAGGAGCATCAGCATCCTCCGGGCAACTTGATGAGACCCCAGTTGCATTAGTCACGGTTAACGAGTTCTTAGCCATGTATGAATCTTCTTCATTATACTGGAGCCGGCGGGCTCCACCATCTGTATCATAACACCTCACCCGATGAATCATTGCATACCTGCTGCCATGTTTACCATCATCACTGACTTCATATTTACACCCTTTACTACCAGCAGCTCTATCAAGAAATCTTCTACGTTGAATCGTGGGGTCAAAGTAATCATTTGGATTCAATCTCCGAATGGGCCGCGCTTGATCATACCTGTGGTCCTGCATCCTCGCATACGATTTTCGTCCTCTCAAATAGTCTAAACCAGGATTACGATCCTCAAACATCCTGTAATTTCGTTGCGGTGAAACTTGACTTCGGGGTGGGGAAATGAACTCTCCATGAACTGCACCAAATCGCTTTGTCAATGGCAGCCTCACTCTATCCATTCTAGCTTCAGACCTAAAATCTGGTGACCTATTGTGACGTCTTGAACCCTCATTTCGATCCCTCGATAACCAACCAATCGGAGAGCGACTCCTTGATCTTGATCGAGCTCTCTTGTAAGGTATGGTGTGATGATGTCTTCCACCATGGGGGGAAATGCTTCCTCTCCTGTCTAAACAATGTGGCATGCGACTCAGGTATTGTGTGCTGTCATCAGGAATATGCCTGAGATACTCATCTCTGATGCCTCTACTATCCCCTTGCGGGTGTCTTCTAAACCTACTCCGATCAGGACTAGTATCTCTTACGGTTGGAATCCTTGGATGCATACTGTAAGAATCAACTCTTTCGGTTGGTGATCTCCTTCTAACAGGTGACCTGTAAGAACTCATAAATTGCCTGCTAATACGGTGGCCAGGTCTTGCAGTACCAGCAGCTTCCGAAGGTATTTGGTCTGTGCCTGTAAGATATTCTCGGTTCCCAAAAACACATTTTGGTCTGGGGCGCCCAATATTATCAGGGAAATCAGAAATAGGTGGATGCCGCCGCTTAGAATCCCAATAATTAGCTGAAGGACTGAAAACGTGAGCACCTCTGGGGCTTCTTCCACGAATATGTGAACAAGATCCATCACTCCCTGCAGATTTCTCGGAACCAGCGCCCCTTCCAGCTCGAGGATACGAAGCATTGAAACTGTCAAACCTGAAATATTAAAACAACCAGAATCATTTACGTTTGAAATGTACATCAGAGAGAAGAGACAGTTGTGTCCAAAAATTTCACCTGCTTCTCTGATGAACATCAGAGGAAAATGATCCTTCAACACATGAAAGCAATTCCCGTTTTGATACCTTGGATATATCAACTCGAAGATCATAATTAGACCCATCCAAGCAGTCAATTTTCATACTTTCACCATCAGACACTTCCACAGTTCTAATCTTCAAGCTCACTGAATTTTTCCTCAAAGCCTCCCCGGATTCACAACTTTTAAAATTCGCAGTTAGTTCCATATTTGATCCTCGTTCTACCTTTAGTTCCTGCTCACCACTCTCAGCTTCCAAGCCAAATGATCTTTCTTCCTCAAATTCAGCGTCATAATCCCCCTGTTCAGCTTCCTCCCAATACTGAACATCTGATTCCCTCAACTCCCCATCCTCAAATTGTGAATCATAACCAGAGCATCCTTCAGATCCCGGTTTCTCTGTACTCAGGTCATCAGGCCCAATAGGAATGGTTCTCAAGTCTGAAGTCATCCTATTACCCCCAACATCAGATGAAACCACTGGGATTGTAGTGTAATTTTCTATAACTTGAGGTTCCGTAGTCTGCAAATGTGAATCATAACCATAGCATCCTTCAGATCCATGTTTCTCTGTACTCAAATCATCAGTCCCAACAAGCATTATTCTTGAGTCTAAAGTCAACCTATTACCCCCATCAACATCAGGTGAAACCACTTCTCTCATACCATCATGTTTTGTATCTTGAGATTCATTAGTCTGCAAGTGTGAATCATAAACAGAGCATCCTTCAGATTCCTGTTTCTCGGTACTCAAATCATCAGTCCCAACAGTCATCGTTCTCGTGTCTGAAGTCAACCTATTACCCCCATCAACATCAGAAGAAACCGCTTCTTTCATAGTATCAGGTATCGTATCTTGAGGTTCATTAGTCTGCAAGTGTGAATCATAACCAGAGCATGCTTCAGATTCATGTTTCTCTGTACTCAAGTCATCAGTCCCAACAGGCATGGTTCTCTCGTCTGAAGTCATCCTATTACCCCCATCAACATCAGATGAAACTACTTTGTTTGTAGTATCATCTTTTGTATCTTGAGGTTCCTTAGTCTGCAAGTGTAAATCATAACGAGGACATCCTTCACATTCCTGTTTCTCTGTACTCGAGTCATCACTACCGACAGGTATGGTTCTCAAGTCTGAAGTCATCATATTAACCCCATCAACTTCAGATGAAACCACTCCGTATGTAGCAACATTTTTTATATCTTGTGGTTTCTTAGTCTGCAAGTGGGAATCAAAACCAGAGCATCCCTCACACTCCTGTTTCTCTTCACTCAAATCATCGGTCCCAACAGGGAAGGTTCCCAAGTCTGAAGCCATCCTATTATCTCCAACAACATCAAATGAAACGACTTTATCTGTAGTATCATCTTTTATATCTAGAGGTTCCTGAATCTGCAAGTGTGATTTTGAGTCATAACCAGAGCATCCTTCAGATTCCTGCTTCTCTGTACTCAAGTCGTCAGTCTCAACAGGCATGGTTCTCAAGTCTGAAGTCATCTTATCACCCCCATCGACATCAGATGAAACCTCTTCATTCAAAGTTTCATTTTTTATATCTTGAGGTTTTGTAATCTGCAACTCTTCACTTCTCCCAGAAATATTAGCAAAAGAATCCTTTTGAGTATCAACAGTCCCTCCATCACAAAGCCAAGCATCCACTGAAACATTTAAATCCCAGAGTGACCTATTATCTGGCAAAGGAACAAGACTTTCTGGCTCTGTATCCTTGTCACTAGGAAATTCATGCAAAACAGCAAAGGAATTGTCTTGGAAAGATGAACCCTGAGACCTACTTTCATTTACCGAATCTTTTCGAAAGCTACATGCTGCCTCCAATGATGCAGTAATTTCTTCCAAATGAGTTGAAGAAGCTGAAGACTGCATCCTCTCCACTGTTGGCTCTTCTACTAATGGATTCCCCTCATATTCAGTAACATCATTGCAGATGCTATCACTGCAAGCAGCAGCTGCAAGTATTTCAATCCCTGAGAAATCTTCGACACCATTTATTACCTCTGAAATCTTCTTATCACCGACACTAGCAATATATGACTTGGCAGAACAATTCGATTTCATGAGTTGTTGCCCCTGTTCAGTGTTTGAACCAAAATTCTGATTTGAAGCAGGTATAAAATCTACATGCTGTTCAGAGGCTTCAAGGTGCAAATAAGGAGTCAATGGAGGTGGTGGCGACGGATATCGGAACACAAATCTCCTTTTCTTGATTGGAGCATTCTCTACTCTTTCACAAAAGCGCCTTCCTAGAACATCCACACCAACCTGCTAATAATAAAACGGAGATTTAGTTCAAACAAACGAGAGAACCCAGACTGTAGTTTTTAAACAAAAAAGAATGCAATGTAACCTTCTCTGACTCTGAAACCATGACACGCTCCACTGTCCTGGCATTTTTATCAGCTAGCACCATTCCCAGCATCAAGATTTTAGCAACCGGTCTCCTGGTTCGTCTCATCATACTCCTTTTCCTTTTTGAAACTATCTTCCAAGTCAGGTCAGGATCCATAGGACTTGTGAGGTCCAGGCCTACTGTGCTCATCGTGCCTGAAGACACAGACCCTATCCCAGCAACTAATGGTCTACCACAACAAATCTTGCAGGATGCAGTGGCTTTTTTCTTACTACTTGACACCAGAGTAGAAGAGAAACTCCGGGTACAAGTACAAATATGGCTCTGAAAAATTAAACCAAAGCTCCAATAAAATATGAATCTAATGTGGTATGTGAATAAAATAGATTTTAACTGATGAAGACTATTTTTTATGAAGTTTTGAGGTTTTAAAGTACTTAATGTCGAACAAACTACAAGGCCAAGGAACTTACAGTTAATTTGGTTCCTCCAATCTTGTCAGATATTTAACAATACAGAGATCACTATAAGAATCTTCAACAGGTTAAGTGTCTATCCTTCCTGCATAACAATTTCAAAGAACATGATCAGCCATATATACAAATAAAAGAAACTGAACAAGAAAGATCAAACTTGTTCTACTTAAGGATCCAATCCACTTAATAAAAGAAAATTTATCATCACATACTGAGCCCCAGATCACGATGACAAGTTTGATGTCCAGAAAAATTTTCCTAAGGATAAAACTAGTCAAAATTCGGATCTCTTTCGAATTTTTCACCTGATTATTAATTCGCTTTACCATTATATTTGCTTTCAGTTTCAGCTTTGATTTACCCTCAACAACTCAAAAATGAAAAACAAGTAGAGGAATCTATCAGAAATAAGAAGCCAAAGAAATTAAAAGCGAACGAAATCGGAAATACAAAACAAGGAGGAAAGCAGATAACCTCAAAATCGGGCAAGAGGATTTCTAATGGTTCGGAGTATTTATTGACCAATCTGAACCGTTAGCAAGTAGCGGTTGAGGCGGATAAGGATATATGTTAGTCTCGGGCCGATCCAACGGTGCGATTCCGAGATCGGAATAAGGACACTTGGAAACTAAGATTCCAGTCTCGCTTCTTTCAGGATTGTTTCTAGGAAATATACCAGAAGAAAGCAATAGGAGAGGCGGAGCTTCAATTCCGTGTAAACATAAGGCCAATCGGAGGCCGGACAGCGGCTTTAAGGGTGGCTTCGGGCGGAAACAGGCTGATTTGTCTTGGTGTAGGAAGAGAGAGAGAGAAGAAGAAGAAAAGAAGAGAAAGAAAAAACAGACAGAAAAAAAAAGATAAACTTAAAGGATCCGGCCTGCCCTACGGGTCTCTTACCCGGTTCCAGATCGACCCGATTTCTTTATTCGGAATTGCCCAGTGGATCTGGCCCTTCCTACCCAGGCCCACCATCTAGCTTGTACCTTATTTAAGATTTGTATCGCTTTTATTATCGAATTTTAAAAACAGTAAAGTTTAATTTTAATGTAAATATTGGACTGTTAACCTTCCAACCGTGGCATAGTGTGGTAGTTTAATAGTAACATAGAAATCAAAAGTACATTTTTCTTATTCCATCTCATCTTTAAAGACCATTAATTTCAATTCATTCCATGATTATATTTTTATATAAAATTAATATAATTTCCAATAAAGTAATATTAATATAATTTTCAAATCATTTAATACTATTAAATAACAGTATTTTTCTATAAAGGTAATATAAATATAATTTCAAAAAAATATTATTTTAATTTTAATTTACAATTTTATATTTTTTTCAATTTAGTTTACTGATTTATATTTTTGTAATTTAAACCCTATAAATCGCATAATTAAATTTCATTTTAAATTCTATAAATTATATTATAATCTACAGACCATATAAATTTTTTGTTCACCAATTTTTAAATTGGATGCAATTTAGTTCATTTTTTATTAATTTCAACTTCACATTTTATAATTATTTTGATTTGATCTCTCATTCATGTGTATTGTTTAATTTAATTAAAATTTTACTTGTAATTTCATGTTTGTTCAATTTAGTCCTTAAAATTATATTTTTATCAAAATTGGTCAATAATTATTTATATTTTTTGAAATTTACTCTAAATCATATACAATTAGAAATTAAAATTCGACGTTCATGAAAGATGAAAAGTAAATAACCAAAAAATGACCCGACTTGAAGTCAATTCGTATCCGATAAGATCCGACCTGAATTTTGTCTATCAATGATGTGATCTAATCTAGACAAGATCCAACCTGAAGTCCATCCGAACAAGAATTAACCTGGCATTTAACTAATTTTGACATGAACCGTTTTGATCTGAACTGACATCGATCCGAACTAAAACTAATCTGACCATAACCCGAACTGAAGCTGATTTCAAATCAACCTGAAAATAACCCGAACTGATTTGACCCGGACCCAACTTGATCCGAGTCGAACCATTAAATTGACCTGACACAACATGTATCTGATTTGACCTGACCTGACAAGATCCTACTGAAATCTGAACGATTGCCTAATTTTATATTCTTAGTCATTAAAATTAAATTACTTATCTTTGAATGAAAATTGGAGGATCTAATTAGAGTCTTCATTTTAATTAATAACCAAAAGTAAAGGATGAGATTTATGTTTTAGTGTTCGAATTGTACTAAGATTCTTCATGGCTGCCAAATTGATAAGAATTATACCATTCAAGATGAAAAGGCTTCATTGTCCGATTATAAATGTATAGCCAACTTGAAGCTTTTTACTCAAGGGATGATGAAAATGCCATGAAATAAGACTCACTTGTTTGCTGAATCACCTACTGATGTTGTTTTCAAGCTTTTTTCTATTAGTGATAAGTTTCTTTGTCAAACTTCATGTGTTGCTAAATCAGCAGGTATACTATAATGTCTTCATATGCTAAACAACTTGCATTTTTCATAATGAAATGAATGCAAGTACTTTTCAAATAAGTTCTTTATTCAAATGATTTGAACAAGTAAAATGATTTGAACCAAGACGACAGTCATGTTTTCTAATATTAATCTTAGAAAACAGCATTGTGTTTGCTTTTGTTTTTTCGGTTGTAAGTGGCTTCTAGCTCTGGTTTGGTATTAGAATTTCACCTCAAAGAACAAGGTCATACTTCAACATGGTTATCCACATATCCGGCATATTAGAGAGGAATCTTAAACAATGATGAAATTAAAACTTAATCTTTGTCCGCTGTTATTGACTAAACATGCCTAGGCTCTTCTAACATTGAAGTTATTAATCTTCTAACAGCAAGTATTACTCAGTTGTGGAATAAAATATTGACCATAAAGACCAACCCCAAGTAGAGACAAACCCAACTAAAGCAGGGACCCATGGAATCAGTAGCCACATGACTAAGTTGGAAAACTTGAACCACTTGACTATCAGAGTTCAAAAACTACTTTTATCGACTCCACTTCTTGTTGATGAGCAAAGCATTCTCAAATACAAATCAATCTCATCAGTTAGAAATTGTTTCATGTTGACGAAGCTATCAAAAAAGCATATGGAAGCATCCCACTTTGTTATAATTCTTCTCGCATGCTTCAACTTGCAGGGTCTTGACTTGCTTGGTTTAGCAACAGCAATCCCTGTAGTTCGAGGAAATGACACTAACAACAAGCTTTACTCCGTTTCAAATCCATGATAGCAGGTGATCGGCTTGGGGTTATGGAGTCTTGGAATAGTTCCATTCACTTCTGTCAGTGGCATGGTATTACATGCGGTCGCAAGCATCGGAGAGTCACCAAGTTGGAACTACAATCCCTCGAACTCTTGAGATCTTCATAACCATACATTGGAAATTTGAGCTTTCTCAAGGAGTTGAATAGTGCGGGCAACAGCTTCTACAACTACATTCCTCAAGAAATTGGTCATTTAAGAAGACTGGAAACATTTGATATGACCAATAACTCCATCAGTGGTGAAATTCCTTCTAATTTATCTGCTTGTTCTAAGCTTGCAATAGTTGAGCTGAGATGGAACCAGCTAAAAAGAGAAATACCTGCTCTGTTGGGTCTCTTGTCAAACCTGAAATTATTGAACTTTGCCAACAACAGCTTGAGAGGGAGCATTCCACCTTCATTAGGGAACTTGTCATCCCTTGAGGGACTTGCTTTGGCGGTTAATGGATTAACTGGGATTATACCTGAAACTTTTGGACAACTGAAAAAATATTTCATATTTCTCCATATTAGAAAATGAAATTTCTGGTATTGTTCCGGTCTCAATGTTCTATCTCTCCAATATTAGAGTCTTCGATATTGGTGGAAACAAGATTCAAGGTACTCTTCGTTCTAACTTAGAAATCACTATGCCATATGCTAAGTTCTTTTCGATAAGTTCAAACCAAATCTCTGGATAAGTTCAAACCAAATATCTGGACAAATCCAAATTTCACTATCCAATGCCTCAAATCTCTATACTTCAATTTAGTGATAACAGACTCAATGGCGATGTGTCTTCCTTAGAAAAGTTGGATAAACTGTCAAAGTTTACCCTATACGCAAACCATTTGGGACATGAAGAGGAAGTTGACTTGAATTTTCTCTGCACTTTGGTCAATAATACCAAACTAGAATTTTTAGATATAAGCATCAAGAATTTTGGAGGTGTGTTTCCCAAATGCATTAGCAATTTTTCCAATACCCTTTTACAATTGGTAATAGAAGAGAAGAGAATAGAATATCAGGAAGAATCCCAGATGGGATATAGAAAATCTCATCCATTTGGGGGTGTTAGGGGTATCACAAAATCAGCTATCAGGTCCTATTCCTTTCAATATCGGGAAGCTTCAGAAGCTAGAGGTATTTTATGCTTCCAATAATTCTCTCTCTCAGACTATTCCCGATTCTATTGGAAATTTGACATTATTAACCATACTTGCTTTAGATTTTAACACTCTTCATGGAAGGATTCCTTCAAGTCTATATAAGTGCCAAAATTTACTCGTAATGGATCTTTCTGATAACAATCTTAGTGGAACCATTCCCCCTCAAGTATTTGGACTATCATCCATATCCATTGTATTAGACTTATCATCAAACTATTTGACTGGTGAGCTCCCTCTTGAAATAGAACATCTGAAAATTTAGGTATATTGGATGTTTCTCAAAATAGATTATCTGGTTTACTTCCAAACAACCTTGGCATTTGTGTAAGTCTAGAGAAGTTGTTCTTGGATGGGAATTTGTTTGAAGGGCCCATTCCTTCATCTTTGAGTTCATTGAGAGGTCTGGTAGAATTGGACATATCTGACAATAATCTTTCAAGTGAGCTTCCAGACTTTCTCGTGAATTTAGGACATTGAAGTATTTAAATCTCTCTTTCAATGATTTTGAGGGAGTGATACCGACTGAAGGAATCTTTCAAAATGCAAATGTTACATTCGTTGAGGGAAACAATAAGCTTTGTGGAGGCAGTTCTGAGTTACACACTTACACTTACCCAGATGTAACTCGAAAAGATCATCAAACACTTCATTGAAAATTTCAATTGTTATTTTGATTTTAGGAGTGACTTTGATTTTTACTTCTCTCCTCATATTGTGGTTTAGAAAGAAGAAAGAGCAGCCAACAACAACTTGTGTTGAGAATTCTTTTTTACAGTTATCATACCAATTCATCCTAAAGGCTGCTGATGGATTCTCCGTGCAGAATTTACTTGGATCTGGAAGCTTTGGTTCTGTATACAAAGGAATTCTTGAAGGGATTGGAGCAACTGTTGCAGTAAAGGTGCTTAATCTTTTGAATCAGAAAGCTTCTAGGAGTTTCTTGGTTGAATGTGAGGCCTTGAATAACACTCTACATCGGAATCTTGTGAAGGTATTAACAGCCATTTCATGTGTCGATTATCAAGGTAATGATTTTAAAGCACTGGTTTATGAGTTCATGGAAATGGAAGCTTGGAGAACTGGTTGCATCCATCTATTACCATCAATGAAGAAGAGACGATGAGAAACCTAAACTTCTTCCAAAGAGTTAGTGTGTCCATCGATGTTGCTCATGCACTTAAATGTCTACACCACCATTGTGAAACATCAATCATTCATTGCGACCTCAAGCCAAACAATATTCTACTCAATGAGGAAATGGTTGGTCATCTAAGTGACTTTGGATTGGCAAAAATCATTTCTTCAGACATGCTTAACTATTTTTCTCATCATTCAAGCTCCCTTGGGTTAAGAGGAACAATTGGTTATGCTCCACCAGGTCAGTTCGCTTTATACATTTCTTCCAATTTTATAACCATTGTTTATATACTTTAATCTTAACATAATCTAAAAGAAAAATATACAACTCAACGCATGGATGTCTTAGGCTATATAAATACATTTTGAGGACCCCTTTTCAATTATTACTTATAATTTGTGATAAATTAATTGTAGAATATGCCATGGGAAGCAAGTTGTCAACAAAAGGTTATGTGTATAGCCATGGCATTCTCTTGCTGGAGATGTTTACGGGGAAAAGGCCGACTCATGATATGTTCGAAGAAGATTTCAGCATTCACAACTTTGTTGCGGCAGCTTTGCCTGATCGGGTGACTGAAATTATTGATCCCATCTACACAAGGAAGAATTGCAGATGTCACTCTTAATGACAGACATCTTCAACACTTGAATTCAATATTTGAAATAGGACTCGTTTGTTCTGCTGAATCACCTACTGCACGGATGGACATGGATGATGTCGATTCCAAGCTTTGTTCTATTGGAGACAAGCTTCTTCGTCCAACTCGCTTACGTCATGAGGACGAAACTTTATATGCTGCTCAATCTGCAGGTATACTATAAGGTGTTCTTATGCTGTAGTAATCATATTGCATTGTTCTAAACAGTGTTGTGTTAGGTTTCGTTTGTTTGGCCATAAGTGGCTTCCTGCTCTGGTTCGGTAACTAGAATTTCACAATCAGAGAACATGGTGTTTACGATGTTGTCTTGTATCATAAAAAGCTTTAATAATTTAGCAGATTATCCGATTGCCCAACGAGCCTAGAAATATCAAAGTTGCGAGCCTAGACATTTTAATCTTTTAGTATTGATTCTAAAGATTACATGAAAGAATACGAAGGCAAATATATCATTAAAATAATATGTATTATATTAATCTTAAATAAAAATAATTTAGTAATTTTAATTAAATAAATACTTGATTAATCGATGACACTAAATTTAACTAAATTTTTAAATATAGTGTAGATATAATACATTGTGAATAAAATGTTAACTTTTTTATTTAGATATGTAAAACTTCCTTTATGTTTTTTCTAAGATTCCAAATTCATTTTTCTACATTATCCTTTAAAAAACTTGTTATATAATTTTGGTATGATTCACAAGTGTTCATTTTCTATTTATTTAATGATTTAAGTAAAGACTAGATCCATCTAATCGTATGGGAGATTAAAATGATGATAAAGCTTAACCATCAAGTATTTAGCTTTAAATTCAATATCTAACCTTATATCAAAAAATTCATATTTTAGTTTCTTAAAATGAAGATGCAATCGAGTAGCTTAAACTGCTTCAAATCTATGAAAATATGCAGTTCATTCAAAATCAATACCGAAATTAATTTATGGTTAAAAAAGGAACAAATACATTATTTCAAGTACGAGATTTAAAATTTTAAAAGATTTAAATTTATAAATAATCACTTGTTCATATTTTAATTTCTTAAAATATTTATGATATTTTAATTTAACATTTAATAATTTATTTATTAAAATTTTAAGTACAAACAACTAAATATGTTGTTTATTATTTACACTACAATATCATTTATTATCATACACTAAAATTATGTGTCGAGTAAAAAAATGTGATATAAATGAATTCTTATATATTTTAAATTTTAAAAATAAATCTAATCGAATTGGGTGACCAAATCGAAATAAAAATTTAAGTTTAATGATGATTTTGAAAACAAAAATAGTTGACTGACCAAAATAGAACCGCATGAATAGTTGAGTAACTAAATATGTAATTTACCCACGTGCTTTTAACGGAGGGCAAATGAGGTAACGATTTAAATTTTAGGGGGCAAAATGTCCCGAAAAATACTTTAGGGGTAACTTGGTACAAATGATATAGTTTAGGGGGCAATGGTGCATTTAAGCCTTTTTTTCCTTTCATTTAGGAGAAGTATTAAAAAGCGTAATTTAAAAAATAGAGTAAATTACGCATTTAATACTTAAATTATCATTGTTTATCTATTTTACTACATTTTTTCAAAATCATACCTAACGTTTAGTTTTTGTTTCATTTTAGTACCCATCATTAAAAACTTAATGCGTTTAGTACTTAAAATATTAGTATTGGTCCGTTTTAGTAACTAAACTTTCAATTTTTTCAAAACTTAATGTTAAATTTTTTAATGGGTATTGAAATGAAGCAAAAAATAAATGTTATATATGTTTTTTTTTTAAAAAAAAAACCCAAAAGCTTAAATACTAAAACAAAGTAAAATTTATAGTTTAAATACTAAACTCGTAATTCGCCTTTTTAAATAAATTTAATTAAGAAAAAGCGAATGAGAATCTACGACAAGAATAAAAAGTGCACCTTTTAACTTTGAGATATTTATGATATTTGGGTTTAGGAAAAAATAAGTCAAAAATATTTTTATAAAATGACAAGCATTGTTTTACTCATTAAAAATAAAATAAAACATCTTCTCAAATAAAAGAAATAAAAATAAATATAGTATAGTATAATATGGTATAGTATAGTATAGTATAGTGAAAGAGGATTGATCCAAAGGTACTTAAAAATTCCTGATGCAATTTAGTGTCGAATTTCAGTCCAGGCAACTGAAAGAAAAATAAATTAGAAAAAGGGGGTTTTGCAATTGAAAGAGGAAAGATAAAAGAAAGTAAAAAATTAAACATCAAAGTAAAAGAAATGAAAAAGTAAATAAAGTTGAAAACAATAAAGATAAAATCGCCTCAAGCTAGCTTTGTTTCAATTTCGTTTGATCATCAAAATGGAATTTTACTCCGAGATTCATGTCTGTTACAGTCTACAATGTCCAGCCCATTGTAACTTGTCATTCTCTCATGTAACTGATCTTCCCAAGTCTATATTTGAAAGATGATTCTTGAGTGGATTAACCACATCTATTTCCGTTAAAACAATCAGAATTAATTACTGGAAAGGCCTAACTCGGATTATGTTGTCTCGATGAGAATCATATCCGATCTTGTTTTTCCTTAGAGGACCGCTACTAAATATATTCACAGGAAGTTGAATTGCCACAGGTCAATCCTTCCTCACAACATATATGTAAACAACATCCAAACCAACGAGCACTTTTTGATTTGAAAGTGTTTAAAATTTGTAAGTAAGACCGATTGTCAAACTAATAAACCAAAAAATCGAGAATGTGACCCGAAGAGAATTAAGTGTTGTTCAATTCTCACGCATGGAATTGATTCATTGCTAGCTCTTATCTATAATGAATTTTTTAATAAAATGAAAATAAAAACAAATCTAATTCAAGTGTGTTTTAAGCTTTACCTTAAGGATGCGTTTGGTTCACGGAATGTAAGATTACCAGTGGAAATAAAAGATTACCAGGGAATAGGATTACTGGGAATGTTGTATTTTGTGTTTGGTTGGTTTAGCAGGAATGTAAGATTACCGTGTTTGGTTAAAGGAATAAAAGATTATTGGAATGTATATTTGACCAAATTGTCCTTAATATATATTTGTATAATATTACAAATTGTAAAATATTTATATATTTTCTTTAAAAAATTAAATTCATAATATTTATATAATTTTTTTTACAAAATTAAAAATATAAAAAAGGTTTAATGAAAACGTAAATTTTTTTTAACTCCTGAACTTCATATAAAATTTTAATTATAGATTTTTTTTTGTAAATCTAAAATAATTTAAGGATAAATTTGTAATTTAACCTTCGTAGAATTTTTATTATTCAATGACAGAAGAATGATATTTTTGAAAAAAAATAAAAATTTAAGGGCATTTTAGTCTAAAACGCCGGTAATGTTACAATACCTAAGGGAAGGGAGGTAATGGCATTCCCGGTAATATACTCCAAAAAATCTACTATTGGTAATAAAACATTATCGGGAATGAGATTCCCGGCCAACCAAACATGGGAATGTGGGATTCTCATCCCATGGGAATCCCACAATCCTTGTACCAAACACCCCCTAAGGGGTATTTATAGCTTCTAAATCCCTAAAGATAACATGAAAATTCAAAATTAAAATCCTAAATTTTAAAAGATAAAACCCAAGTGTTTCTAAATTTAAATTCCTAAAGATTTCGTCCATCTTCTTCCAGATAATGCTGATTGGACTGATTCTATAAATTGTTGTTGCTGATTGGATCTTTTGGAAGCTGTCACGTCAGAACGCGTCGTGCCTTGTGTAGTGATCATGCCTCCGACCATGATCAGAAAATAACAAAAAGTTGCAAAACGTGCCCTTTTGCTTCCAATTCCAGTAAACAAGTTCTCTGCACATAAAATAAGCCAAATGTAACCAAATCAGTAGTGAAAAATTCATAAAGCAAGAGAATTGGCAAGTAAAAAGTGTCAATTGCAAGAACTTATCAAATTCACCCTCACTTGTTTCATACTTTCCCTCAAGTATGCTAAGATCAAATTAGTTAAGAACTTTAATTTACCTTCCTCCAATTCTTTTCATACTCAAGCAAATCATGGAAATCGAGCTCACAATAATCACATGAACAAAACATCAATCAAGCAAACAAGCACAAGTAAGAATAAATTCAACAACAATGTAACTTTCTATCATCCATTAATAAAAAAATTCAACCCAACTTAATTCCTCACCAATATTCACTCACATGTGTTTCGGGTATCAAAGCATGCTCAAAATCCGAATTGAATAAGGATTTCCATATGCTTGTGACATAATCAAACCTCCATTACTTAGGAGAAATCGGATGCAAGATCATTAGGTCTTTTAGAAGGGTTGTAACAGGTCTTAGGTAAAGGTGGGGAAAAAGGCTAAAAATGGAGCTTTAAAGGTCAAACAAAGAATGTTTTAATAAATCGATCAAGTCCACGAGCAAATGAAACTATTTTTCTGTTTTTCGAATGTTTATGTTTTCTTTTTTTTCTTGTTTTTTCGAAACTGATTTTTTTAGGACGTGATCATACTATTTTTTTGTTTCATATTCTTTATCTTGACATGAGTGGAAAAGAGGGAAAAAATAAAGGCTTAGGTTAATGCAAGGGGTGAAACCAAAGAAATGAAAGAAAGGCTAAAGTGGGTTCACTAATGAAAAATAAGAAGGGAAGGCTTTTTCTAGGATAAAAATTGGGGTAAATCCTAATGCCTAAGTCATATCAAGCAACCTATTTCACATGTAGTCTCAAAATGTATCATGCCACAAGTTCTAGATTTCCAAAATTTAATTCGACACACTCAAGAAATAAAGAGAACATAAAAGTGAAGATAAACATGTTCAAGGCTCAAAATCTCACAAAGTATGTCAATGAATCAAGCTAGGCAAAAAATCCAATTAACAAGATGAATAAATGTCTTAAAGGCCATCAATTAACATCCTACTCATACAATTCAACCATCAAGGATGT